AGAGCGTATACAGTTCGGAGGAGCAGATGGATCACCATGGTCTGGGGAGATTAGTGCAGCTGGGAGTGACGAGAGGTTCCGGCAGATGCTCGAGGCTCAGAGGAAAGGCAAGACGGACGTTTAATCAGAATGCTACTGGCACCAATAGTACCTTCACTGGCTGTTGAGGATAGAGACGGAGCGCTTATGGGAATACCCCATGTGCTGTGATGTCATTTTTTGGGCTCACCTCCGAACTTCCACCCGATTTTATGGCGGCCACGCAAATGCTACCGCATCTCCTGCAACTTCCTCTAATTTATTTGCTCTTGAGTCCCAGGCATCTAGTTTAAATCCCCATCTGCGCCGCGCGTAGTGGTAGGGGATACTGTCGGCGGTGAGTTTAACCGCGTTTTGCGAATGCCGAAAAGTGTGAGAAAAACGACGACGCTAATCTGGGTCAGAGCGCGTGGTCTCCCCGCCATGTGGCTATTATCGTCTGAACATCAAGGAGGATTGGCTAATAAACATGAAAGCTGAAATATTTTTGTCACGACGGATTGGAAAAAATTAAAGCAGAGGGCGTGGTGCCAGGAAGGAGGGGCAGGGGCCGACCAACACGAAGATGGGCACAGGATATAAATGACTCCTTGAGTGTGAAAGTGCATGAGGCAGAAGAACTGGCGAGAGACTGAGTTTCTTTCAGGCAGACTGTGATGAGAGCGACGTTCTGCAAAGGACCTGCTTCAAAAGGACCTGCTACATAATGATGATGGGTATCGTCTAAAGAAACGCTTGAAATTGTCAACGGTCGCTATTATCGTCTGGTACTATCGTCTGCAGTGTTGTGTCTCTTGAAATTGTCAAGTAATCCTAGTTTTGCCGCTATTAGTTCCTTGGCAGAAATTCCGCATTTTACACACCATTGAGGCCCTGTTAGGCTATTTGCTTGGCCGCCATAATATCGGGTAGAAGTTCGGAGAGGAGCCGGTTTTTTAATCAACTCCTCACCTCAATCAAGACCTGAATTTTTCTACTGCTGTCAACTACCCAACAAGGATTGTCCGGTGTTGACAGTCTGGAGTTCACGCAGGGCTGCCGAAAATTATGGGTTTTAATTTCTGCTATATTTTGGCAGTGTGATCATACAAAGTTCACAAAATTGTATTTTTTAATTAAAACCCATATTTGAAACGCCTTTAAACACACATGTGCACACACACATCATCATCATCATTACCATCATCATTATGTAGCAGGTCCTTTGCAGAACGTCGCTCTCATCACGGTCTGCCTGAAAAAAATTCGGTCTCTCGCTAATATAATTTAGCTGTTAAACGGGGGTTTATGGGACTTGTGCCGGGGTAATCCTCATCCGAATGGTGGCACTTTGTGTCACCGGGTTTTGGTCGCTCGTTGTACGGTCTTGGTGGGGTTAAACAACAAACAACTAATTAGTTCTCTCAGTTCTCTATGTATTTGTTCATTGTGGGCTTCTTTAACAATTGTGGGAAATGTCATGATTAATGGCATAAATGACGTTGGTCTTCATATATATATATATATATATATATATATATATATATATATATATATATATATATATATATATAGAGAGAGAGAGAGAGAGAGAGAAGGCTAAATAAATGATATGATGACTGGAAACATCTGGTTTAAACAACATAAGAGACAATTATACTCGTGGGAAAGTCCAGATGAGAAAACATTCAATCAAATAGATTATATACCTTTTAACAAAAGGTATAGAAATGCACTAACAAATGTGAAGACAAGACTTAGTGCTGACTGTAGCAGTGACCATGTGTATTATGAGGAAAGTTAAATGTACGACTGAAGAGGGGGAAACAGGAGCTGAAAAGCTGTAGACTAAACAAAGATATCCTAAAAGAGAGGATAAAGAAATTCAGGAGCGATATAGCGTGATTGTGAGGAACAGGTACAATGCAATGCCAAAAATACAAACGATTAAAAAAAATTATTTTTTATTTTTTATCTTTTATTAAGGTTAACAGTATTTTTTGCATTATGAATTTTTCTAGAAGAGGGTATGTAACGTGTGCCAAGCTACTACACCTCTTATGTTTCCAAATAAATAGATGAATGCGCGTGTAAAGACAAAACAAAACATGGCCTACAGAAATAAACCTTTTATTTGCTGGGCTCGTGAATGTAGATGAAATAATTCAAGATTAGATTACACACCTGTGTCTTCATCTCTTGGGTTGAGCTAAGTATTTAAATCCCGTAACCGCCCCGTCCACAGCAACCAGTAAAGTAAAAAAAAACTTTTATGCCTTAGGCGTATCGTGCATATGGGAAGAGCACCCGTATTTTTACAGACCAATCGGCACTAGGTGGGTAATGTAGTCAGCATTACGCCCATTATATACATCCTAGTACCCATTTAAGGCTGAGTCGACCTGCGACGCCCCATACCATGATAAAAATCCACGCAGCCAACAGTGGGTTTCGATCGCGGTACGTTGGAATAACTAGTCAGACTCGCAACACCTAAGCCACGGACGTCGCTAGCCAGCCAAGGGTTCCAATTAAGATGGTGTCAGTTGCAGTTTGATTGTATGTGTCGCTTGCCTTTTCTCTGAGTGTAGATCAGATCCTCTGCTCACTCCTAGCGGAACATTCCATAATACTGGTAATAGTTGAGAAGCCTTGCAGAAACATGGACAATGAAAAAGCAATTAGAAAATCGAACTGAGTCACTGGAGATGTGGGTATACAGAAGAATAGGTAGTAGTAGTTCATGGGGGAAAAGAATAGTCCAATACAGAGGTTCTGGAAAGGCTTGAAATGAAAAGATCAGTAGGAAATGCTGAAAGTCTATCCACTAAACACGCAAAGAGATTTTACCAGAAAGAAGACAAATAGCTATTGTCTGGTCTGGTAGTCTTAGTTTCAGCTTTATAGCAAACGGGTCACCCCATCTTTGCTCCGCTCCTGTGCCAACGAAAAACACACAGAATGTTTATCACAGTATTAGAATTGCAGTTCATCATTGATGATAGCAGAAGTCGCCAACAGATCAGCAGTTGCCCACGCGATCAATTTTAATCACATACGGGCACCACAACACTGCACGACAGGCATCGCGCCATTTTCTGAATCTACAAATCACACCAACACGTTGGTCACAGTCGAAAAAACATTCCAAATGCAATCCGCAGCTCACAGGGTCACGTCATGCATTCAACTCAGAAGCTGGGCGATGAAACTATATCCAGTCTACAAATGGAGCAAAAAGGCATCGGCCACCGTCCGGCCGAAGGAAACAATTTGCCTCTGTTTCGAACAGTACCGCTATACAGAAATGGATGACCGAAGAAATTTTAAAGTTAATGGATGACAGAAAACAATGTATGAATGATAAAGAATAATATGACAAGATAAATATAGAAATAAGGCATAAGTGTATGAACTTTTCGTTCGGTTTTATATCTTTTCTATGAAGACAATAGAAGAGTGGCTAAATGAACAATGCAATAAAATTGAACACACACAGTCATAGTAAAGATGCAAAAAGTGTGCACAAACAAATTAACGATCTAACTGGAAGAAAGATACAAGCAAATACAGGAATATTTAAAAAAAAAACATTTACTGGAACCAAGTATCAGCAATTAAAGTGGGAAACAGACTGGGTACTTTTGAACAGATAAAGCCAGGAGTAAGACAGGGATGTGCCTTATCCCCAGACCTTTTCTATTCTATATAGTGAAATTATTTTGAGGGAAATTAAAGAGAAAGCAGGAATAAGAGTTGCAGGATACAAAATAAACATTTTGCGTTATGCAGACGATACAGTTTTGATAACTGAAAATGCATCTGATTTACAACAACAACTGGATATTGTGGGGATGGAGAGTGCTAAGAAAGGACTTTCATTGAATATTAAGAACACGGAAGTAATGGTTATAACAAAGAAGAAGATAACTCCACATTGTTCAACTCTCCACATTGTGATATCTCAGTTGAAGGAAAAAGATTTAACCAAGTCAATAAATTCAAATATCTGGGAACAATCATATCATCAGATGGTAACTGTGTGACAGAGATTAAAAGCAGAATAGGTCGAGCGAAAGTTGCATTTCAGAAAATGAGAAATAACTTATGCAATAAATCGCTCTCATTTAATGTCAGAAAGAGATGCCTAAAGTGTTACATAAAACCTGTTGTGCTGTATGGCAGCGAATCAAAGAATGTCAGTGAACCAGTTAAAAAGAATTTGGAAGCCACATACATGTGGTTTCTGAGGCGAATGTTACGAATATCTTGGACGGCCAGAGTAACGAACAACGATTGTTTGAAAGAAGCTAATGAAAGTAGATCTCTAAATACAACAATAAGAAGGAGACAAACACTGTTCTTTGGCCACGTAAAGAGCAGACAGACACTGGAGAACATCGTGACAACTGGAAAGATCAGTGGAAAAGGGGGTAAAGGGGGTAAAGGCAGACCAAGAGAGATTGTGCTGGATGGGCTCAAACGATGGCATGAAGTAATATCATCAAGAGAGCTGTTCCATGCAACCAGGGATCGTGATCTGTGGAGATGCATGAGTGCCTCTAAGCCAGTTGACAGAGCACATTATATATATATATATATATATATATATATATATATATATATATATATATATATATATATATATACTCTGAGAAATTGATTAACACTATTTATTTCAATTATAACCCCGAGGGTTGAACAGGATGTATTTGAAAAATAACTACTACTCTTCCTTAAGTAACACTTACCGGATCCAGCATACAATGCCAACATCTGGAAAAATGATGCAAAATGTCCCAAACGTACCAAAACATTGGGTGTGGTACCAAAAGTCCCGCTTTGCTCGAAAAGGGTCAAATAAAGTCCCCCCCCCCCCCCCCCCAAAAAAAAAAGTGTCCCAATGTACCGAGTACCAACTTCGACAGCCCTGTGCCTACGTCTGATGCCAGCGAAACGTTTGGCAAATTCAACTTGAAATCATGCATTCCTTAGCAGATTCTCTACATCTTTGGGGGATTACAATCATTCAGTACATTCAATTGATTTTCAAGGCACGTATAAACAAAATAACGACTGCTCTCTGCTACTTCTTCTAATGACAATCAGTGCTTGATTTGTGAATTTAATCAGTCGATTTTGTTCTTCTCAAAATTTGAAATTCTTTTCCAGTAAATTCAAACTACTGGTCGTAATTTTGCCTAGAAATTAGTAGAAAAAAAAAAACCATAACAGACAAAAAATGCTGGGGTTGGTTCTGCAATGTCCTGTAAAAGATACGCAACAAACTTTTAACTTTCCAATAAATCACTATCACTGGAGAATACGTCATGGGGGAACAATATTTGTTCAACTCTCACAGTCCCACTTGAGTACATGATTTTTTCTGACCGGTTAACTACACACAAAGTGGCATTGGGACGGCCAGATTTGATTAGCTGATCAAATGTAAAAGAAAGCGAACATACTTAGCAGTGGTTGTGTCTGAAATAGGAATAGTCGGTTACGCGTCACATATAGCTTGCAGCTGAAAGATGAACAGTCAGTTACACATTACATTTAGCCTGGAGCTGAAAGATGAACAGTCGGTTACACATTACATTTAGCTTGCAGCTGAAAGATGAACAGTCGGTTACACATTACATTTAGCTTGCAGCTGAAAGATGAACAGTTGGTTACACATTACATTTAGCCTGGAGCTGAAAGAAGAACAGTCAGTTATACATCACATTTAGCTTGGAGCTGAAAGAAGAACAGTCAGTTGCACATCACTTTTAGCTTGCAGCTGAAAGAAGAACAGTCAGTTACACATCACATTTAGCTTGGGGCTGAAAGAACAGCCAGTTACATATTATATTTAGCTTGCAGCTGAAAGAAGAACAGTCAGTTGCACATCACTTTTAGCTTGGAGCTAAAAGAAGAACAGTCAGTTGCACATCACTTTTAGCTTGGAGCTAAAAGAAGACATCATAGCACACCAGGCATACCCATAGATGCACTGTGTCCCTCAAATGTCTTCAGGTATAGATGCTAACTGTTCCCATAGCACACTAATTATAAACTCGTTGTTCTCTTCCTTTAATATGCTCTTCCTTGCCAAATCCACTCCCAGTTCTTCGTTCTCACGTTCTTACACATGTCATTTCATCTAACATTGTGTTTTCTATCAACATTCGTTCATTTATGGTCTTCACAATGTCTCCCTTGTCCAGTGTGAGTATTCCCATAACTATTACTTTCGTAGCCAGAAAATCCGCTCTTTCGTTCCCTCGCACTCCTGCATATCTCAGACAGTATATCAATGTAATTCCCTACAATCAGATTCAACTGTTATAATTAGCATATTGAATCTTCTTCGGCTACTAAGGAAGGTGATTTTAGAACATGTGGGTGTGTCCTGTGTAAAGTAATGTCAGTTCTTGATTGCTTGATTGATTCAATCCTTCAAAGAATAAAACCTGAAAATTAGTATTCTGCCAAAGACCAGTAGGATACCTCCAAGCGGTGCACACCAGAAAAGCTGATGGGGATGTGCTTGACAGGTGAGAGGGGAACCATCTGGTTAAATACACCTTGAAACTTCAAAAAACACAGCAAGCCGGCAGTGGATAAGAGTTTGTTTGAAGAAGCAATAAGAAAGAAAATTGGTCTGATCGCTATACTAGCTTGATGCTGAAAGACAAAACAGGTTCTTGAGAAAGGAAAGTCAATTAAAGGAGGTTTTCCTACATCCTTAGGTATATTGTATATATATTGAAGTAAACAATCCCTTTTCGTGCCTTCGTGTGGTGGGCATATAGAACCAGAAATATATTTTATAGACCAAATGGTATTCATTGGGAGATGTGGTCAACATATTACTGGCCACCTTTACTTCCCAGGACTCTACCCATTCAAGGCTGGGTCCACCTGGGAGCCAAGGTCACTTTTTGAAGAAAAATTCCGGCTCTGTCTGGACCCGAACTCATAACCTTCAGATCCGCAAGCAAGCGTCTAGCTGCTAAACCATGACAGCTCCTCCGCCTATAAAGCTCTAGACCTATTTTATAGACCAGTCAGCACTTGCTGGGGGATCTGGTCAAAATCATGCTGGCTGCCTTTACTGCCCATTTTAGGCTAGGTCGACCTGGGAGCTTTTGAAAACTATTTTGATGTGATGAAGATTTGAACCCATGACCTTCGAGCCTGCAAACAAGTGTCAAGACACTGCACAACAAAAAAGGACAAAGAAGAAAAAAAACTGTGAGTTGCTTATTACTGTGTGAGTTCAATTAATTTATGTCTTTTTTTCAGGATTACAGCGGAATTATGCTGTTTCTGTCATACATTGGTGATCCAAAATTTGCTTTCACGTTCTACTTTCCTGTCACATATTTTCTGCACAAATCCGTTGGCAAAAGAGTCCTGTGGGTGACAGTTATATCTGAGTGGTTGAATGCTGTTGCAAAATGGTAGGTGCCACTGATAATATGGTCTGTAGATATGTTGTCTTGGTTCAGTTTGGTCTGTTGACTCCTGTCTTACCTCCAAGTAGGTACAACTGACAGCAAGGGTCTACAGAATGACAAGCAATGTTTCAGAGGGTAGTTAGCATCCTTTGGATATTTTCTCCAGGTCATGCTGGTGTGTTGAGAAATGAATAGGCAGACAGATTGGCTGAAACTGCACCACTTGGGGAATTGATACAGGATGTGCTAAATATGGTTGCGGCCTTTTGGGATCAAGTGAAAAATGTGGAAACAAAAACAGATCATCGCAGGCTGAAGAGAATGTTGCGGCAGGGAGTGACAAGAGGATCTGTCTGACACTGAACTCTCAGCCACATAATAATAGGTTAAAAGTTAGTTGCGTAAACTTAACAGAACCAACACCAGCATTTTTTTGGCTGTTGGAGTTTTCTAGGCAGATTTTAATTTAACTAGTTTGCTATTGCTTACTGAAAGGTCAGTTGTCTGTACCACTGTCAAAACCAACACAAGATGGTCTGCTGCCAAATTGCCTGCAGCTGGGATCGAACAGTTTATTCCTGGCATGATGAAGCGCGCTCGCAACACTGTGAGGTTAGGATTTTTTGGGGGGCCCCCGACAAACACAAAATCTCCATCCCTTACCGAGGAAAATACACAGGTGTTCCGCATGAGAGCCCAGCATTTTTACCATTCACCCATCCAAGTCTTGTTGTGAAGCAGAAAATGCTTGTTGTAAAAGTGAACGCCAGAGACTTCTTTAGTAAAGAAAGCAGATGGGAACCTGAATAGTTTACAATATCACATAATTTAGAGACCATGTTTATCATGTCACTTCACTTTCTATATTAATTTACATGGGATTACTTTCATTCACAAAGTATGTTGAGGAAGGTGGAATCAGGTTTGATTCATATGGAATGGGTTGCATCAATCCAGAGGTCACAGGCAGTGCAAGTCACATAGACATTTTTTCCCAGGTCATGCAGGCGGTTTGTAGCCCAGTATCGTGGTTTTTGAGCTAAACGTGGTTTTCTGTGTTTGTCTTGTGCTTCTCAAGTTCTCTTTCTTGATCTTCCTCTCACCTTCCTCCCGGATGTTCTGCTGTAAAAAGTCTAATAAGCAGTTTGGCCTGGCTACATTCTCACTACATGGCCTGAAACCATTTCATTCTTTGTCTGTCAATATAATCCTGACAGGGGATTACTTTCACCATTAACATCGGCAACATTTCTGATTACTTATCAGGTTGTTACATGGAGAAAGGCCATACTGGTGGGTGCATGAATCAGGAGTTGATAGCAGTGAGAGTCTTCTGCAGGTGCAGCAGTATGAAATCACTTGTGAAACTGGGCCTGGTAAGTACACACACTTCTCAAATGTCTCTTGATCCTTGTGTGGGTTCCAGACCCCATTATTGGGGTTGAGGGGAAGCTGGGTCAGAAAAAGTCTGGCTTCAGCAATGCAGAAACTAAACAGCATGAAGAACCTCTGGCACAACACCTGCAAGTAAGTTCAAGGAAGAATTTTGAGATCATGCATCTTTCCTATGCCAATGTATGGATGTGGGTCATGGACTCTGGATCACTCATTGAAGAAAAACTCGGTGCTCTATAAGAAAACATGTTATACAAGGTGACATATTTGGAGTTTGCCAAAATTGGATGAGTTGGTCTGAAAAGCACAGATATCACAGCCTAGCTATAAACTACTATACAACAAGCCAACGACCCTTTTAGGGGTGAAAGCAGATGAAGAAGATATGCTTCTTTATATCTCTGGTAGTTTTTCCCCTGTAAATGGTTAATTAGACTCTTCATATCTCTGGTAGTTTTTCCCTTGTAAATGATTAATTAGACTCTTTATATCTCTGGTAGTTTTTCCCTTGTAAATGATTAATTAGACTCTTTATATCCCTCAGTTAGTCTCTTTCTCTTCTTCTTTGTGTTCACCTGCTGTAAACTCCAGAGGAAAGTTCTGGTTGTTCATCCACTTCTGGACTTTAGTCTTATTCCATAACTTGAGTTTCAAATGCACATATATTTTGCAGATCTGGTTTATTTGTATGCATGCTGTTGGTTCTTCGCCTCTCAGACAGATGCACCCCCAACTTCAAAGGAAACACTCATAATTAGTCAGCTTTTATGACATGCTTGTTAAGGAAACAGTGGGTGTTTATCCCCCCCCCCCCCCCCCAATAGAACCGCAGAACCCACAAGAGGATGTAGTCTTTTCAAGTCTTTCTTTGTTTGTTTCACTTTGGAACAAATGTAGCCCGGTTGTAAGTGTTGCGGTAAGGAAGTCAGTTGATAATGTTTCAAATATTCTATTTCTGGGAATTATGATAGGCTTGCATTCATTGCCTGTTTGGGGTTCAACATTATCAAATTGGGCTCACCCCCTAGTTTGCTATGACTCCCCTATGTTCAGTTAACAATTTCCTTTTGTTGCTAACAGACATTGGGAGACTTTTCCGAGCCATAAACCAAGGGTATCTCAGAAAAAAAGCACAAGTTGGCAAGAGGGCAAAAATGGCCGTATACTGTTCTACATATGTGCCAGTCCTGACCTACGGATGTTGATCATGGGCAAGGACACTAGTTCATAGAAGCCAACTTCAGGTGTCACAAATGAGGTTTCCGAGAAAGGTGATCCAAATGACAACAGTGGATAATGTTTGCAGCCAGACGATACATCATGATCTTGAAACCCAGACCTTACAAACTTGAGCAAATCCACCACCACAGCAGGAAGGAGATGCCAGGAACCTGGGAACCAGACCATCAGGATGACCCAGGGTTAACTTAAAAGACAACATTTGACTATCCCTAACTGGCAGAGGACTGAAATGGAGAAAAGCTAAAAATAAAATTGCTGCTGAAGAAGTCTGGAGAGCTCTCTCCGGCATAGAAGATGAGTGACTAAGTTTAAAAAAAAACAACCTAATAGACATATTAATGTACACATTCTAATATTTTTCCAAGGTAGTCCTTCGGGACATGCTATGATCACCGGAGCTGTGTGGTACATCATGATATCAGATTTCCTCTACTACAAGAAAGTGACAAGGTAGGAACCTGTGATTGGTAGCAGAGTTAAATCTACAGTAGGGTTGTTCTCCATTTTCCCTCTCCATTATTTTCTACATTAACCCCATGCTGCGAAGTTGTCTATTTTTGGCAGCACTGTGTCATTGTTATGTGTATGCCTGTCATTTACTCCCTCCAGGCTGCTACCTGAACAGTCTGAGACCCTTAGAACACAAGATCTCAGTCTGGATGGCAGACCAACTGGACCTGAAGGGTTGACACCGTAAGACTAAGAAGGGCTCAGTGCTGGTGGCAGACCAACAGGACCTGAAGGTTTGACACCGTAAGACTAAGAAGGGCTCAGTGCTGGTGGCAGATCAACAGGACCTGAAGGTTTGACACCGTAAGACTAAGAAGGGCTCAGTGCTGGTGGCAGACCAACTGAGCAAACCTGGATACCCTGTTCAGCCTCCAAAAAAGTTATAGTGAGGGCACCTTAAATGGACACACCAGCCTGGTTTAACTTGCAGTTCTGTCTGGGTAAGGATGATTGTTATGATGGTTATGTTTGTCTCATCTATCTAAGCTCCTCAACTTATAGTGGGTTAGCATGTCTTTGAGATAGCTGCCCTTGCTGAGGCTTTTACAATTTTGTTTATTTATATAGAACAGTATAGAATAATGGGGGTGTAGCTGCTGGTTATTCACCTGTGGATCCGAAGGTTGTGGGTTTAAATCCAAGTGGAGTCAGGCTTTGAAAAAAACACCTGGCTATCAAGTCGACCCGGCCTGAAATGGATACCAGATAAAGTCCTGGGAAGTAAAGACAGCCGGCATGATATTGATCATATCACCCACCGACTGCTGATTTGGTCGTAAAATATATGTCGAGCAACAGATGCCCCAGTACACATAAAGGTGTGGAAACATTTTCTTTTACACAATGACAGTCTATAACTCTTCTGGTAACAGTGAATGTGCTTTCAACAGCTTGTCCACAAAGGTGCTCTGCTGGTCCTGTTACTTCCTAGTCATGTCTGCAATTGCTGTGTCTCGACTTTTCATTGCCACCCACTTCCCTCATCAGGTGGTGGCAGGGATACTCTCAGGTAAGGTGGTAAGTTTAGATATCTCTGTGTTGTTGGGCGTAAATTGAGATATGTAGTTTATGTTTAGGATTACAGATTGGTTGCGCTCATCCCGTTGTCAAAGTCAACACAAATGTGCTCTGCCTCCAAATCACCCACGGTTTACTTTCATAAATATGCAGCTGTGCTCATAATCCCTTACACTTTATCAGTTAAAAGCTGATCTTGCCAAGTCATGGAACAGATAAAGTTGATGTGTTGAGGGTAGATAAAAAGGGCTTCTTTCCACGCTCACGCTCATGCCATGTTGGGCATATAGGGCTAGACCTAATTTTTTGTAATAGACCAATCGGCACATGGTGGGTGATGTGGTTGGCATCCTCCTGGTCACCTTTACTTCCCAGGACTGTACCTGGTACCCACTTAAGGCTTAGTCTAGCCGCTACACCCCGGCAGCTCCCAAGGGTAGATCAAGACTGCAGATATAGAAAGTGATGAAACCATCTGGTAATGCAGGAGTTTGTATAGTAGATTAAAACAAACGTAACTATTTTAACTTCTGTAGTTGTATGAATAATTTTAATTGATAGTAATTTGTATTTATTTTGCATTTGTATTTGTTTAACAATTTTTGTGGGCTTTTTAGCTTCTTTTTCTATATTCACTTAAAACTCATGTTGGCACATTGTTTTATGGTTTACAGCTAGATTGTGTTGTCTGCAACTTTCGGCCTAAAACATGTGATTTCGGCCTATAACATGTGATTTCAGTAAACACTTATTTAGTGACCTCTTACATTATGCTTGTTCAGGGGCAGTGAGTATATGCTCAGCCCCCCCCCCCATCTCAACATCCCCCCCCCCCCACATGACACATGAGGAAGAGCTTAGCTCAAACATTTATTCTTTCCTTTATAATTGTCTCGGCAGTTGCAGTGGTGTAGTGGCTGGATGCTCGCCTGCAGATCCGAAGGTTGTGGGTTCAGGTTCTGACAGAGTTGGACCCTTTTAAAGAAATGATCTAGGCTCCCAGGTCGATCCAGCTTTAAGTAAGTACCAGGCAGAGTCCTGGGAAGTACAGGCAGCCGGAATGATGTTTACCAAATCACCCACCGAATGCCGATTAGTCTTTAAAATATAGGTCTAGCCCTATATGCCTAGTATACCTGAAAGCATGGAAGAGGGCCCTTTGTATAGTTGTCTCTTTTAATAAAACTCATGAATGAACATTTTGTTGTCTTATTGACAGGAATTGTGCTCGGGAAAATATTCAACTCCTTGTCCACGACTTCTTTAAAGTTTTCTCACCATGCTGCTGTGTGCATTGGCTTGACCGTCCTCACAGCTGTGACTTACCTGTTGGTCAGGTACCTGGGAAGTGACCCCATGTGGTCAGTCGCCAAGGCTGTCAAGTGGTGTGCTCGCAGGGAGTGGGTTCATCTGGACACCAGCGTGTTTTATTCCTTAATACGGGATGTATCCAGTTTGTTGGGTAAGTCTGTGAAGTTTTTGTTACATTTTCTGTTACTTTTATTACTGTTTTATGTAATTGACAGACTTTATTTTCAAAGGGTTAAGAAGTAACCCATCTTACATTCTGACTTCACTTCTTACATGCATTATTCCATTAATACATTATTTAACAGATATTAATAAACATTTTGGCGTCCGCTGCGAGTCCGACTTGTAATTCCAACGTACCTTGATCGAAACCCACTGCTGACTGCATGGATTTTTATCATGGTATGGGGCGTCACAGGTCAGCCCAGCCTTAAATGGGTACCAGGATGTATGTCCTGGGGAAGTAAAGACAGCCGGCGTGATGCTTACCACATTACCCATTTAGTGCCGATTGGTCTGCAAAAATATGGGTGCTCTTACCAAATACCCTGAAGGTGTGAAAAGGGATCTTTACTTTACTTTTAATAAACATTGTCGGCAACATCCAGGTCTTGATTACAAACACTGGAACATGCTCTAATTATACACATTTTTCTTCACAATAATAACAACTTATAATAAATCATAATAAATGTAGGGAAAATGTGCAATCAACTACTTTGCCTGAATTTACTGGATGTAACTGTGTGGTTTTTTTGGGGGGTGATTTTATTCTAAGCTATTGGAGATAATGTACTTTGGCACAAAGCTTTAGAACTTTAAGAAATACCTAACGTAAGTTGAGCTATGAGTACTTTATTGTGATAATTTGCTAGTTTATTCAGCCAAAATTGTGCAACTTAATAAAATAATTACTGGTACAGACAAACTAGAGGTAGGGGATCTAACTCTAATATTGAAATGCTCTAGCTCCAAAATTCAGGACTCCTGTAAGGTTAGTTCAGAAATTATCTTTCTAAAACAACATCTAATTTTGTTCCTTTAATTTTACAGTATTTTTTAAATTTATTCATAATTTTACAAGTTTGAACAGGTTTAGAACAAAACAAATAATACATTAATGAACTGTTATGTATCAAGCACATGCTCACAAAATTTCAAGAAGATATTTTGATATTAAGTTAAGTCATTCATTACAAACAAAATGGTAGGAACGCCCCCTTCGGGGCATATAGTCTGTAATGAAATAATAATAAAATTATTTCTCCCTGTGTGGCTTCTGGGGCCCTATTGTAGGGAAAAGAAAAACAGACCAGACCCACTGCCTACCCAAAAGAATGTCATAAGAGTCGTCTAAGTGGGAGCCTCCTTCATCGTCGGAGTGCATCTGCCTATGAGTTAAGGAATCAACCAGCTGCATATAAATGAAACAGATCTGTAAAACAGATGCGCACACAACACTCGGGTTCTCTAGAAGAGGACAAACAATCAGAACTTTCTGCTGGAGTTTACAGCTGGTGAACATGAATGCAGAAGAAGAAAAAGTAAAAGAAGAAGAAGAAATAGTTTCGGCTTGTATGTATAGAAGTTATTGGTACTTTTGATTTGTTATGAAAGATGGTTCCAAAGATGAGCTGTGGAGTATATTAAGCTTGTTTTGTAGAAGTCTATCATAGGTTTAGGGGCATGTTATATGTCTACTCATTTGCTGTGTCTTCCATTATATTTAAACCATGGCCAGAGGTAATCTGGAGTATTATGTTAAATAAGTGAGATGAGAATCCCAACTCTTTGATGATCCACAGAAAGTAAACATGGACTAAACATTCAGAATCCCAACTCTTTGATGATCCACTGAAAGCAGACATGGACTAAACATTCAGAATCCCAACCCTTTGATGATCCACAGAAAGTAAACATGAACTAAACATTCAGAATCCCAACTCTTTGATGATCCACTGAAAGCAGACATGGACTAAACATTCAGAATCCCAACCCTTTGATGATCCACTGAAAGTAGACATGGACTAAACATTCAGAATACCAACTCATTGGTGATCCATTGAAAGTAGTCATGGACTATTATTCAGAATCCTAAATCTTTGATGATCCACTAATAGTAGACATGGACTAAACATTCAGAATCCCAAATCTTTGATGACCATAGAAAGTAAATATGAGCTAAACATTCAGAATCCTAACCCTTTGATGATCCACAGAAAGTAAACATGGGCTAAACATTCAGAATCCTAACCCTTTGATGATCCACAGAAAGTAAACATGAACTAAACATTCAGAATCCCAACCCTTTTATGATCCACTGAAAGTAGACATGGACTAAACATTCAGATGTTTTCTCTCTCTTCAGGTTTAGGCATTGCAGTTTGGCTACTTCCAGAACATGAGAAGAACTCTTTCAGCTTGATCGTGCGATGTCTTCATATAGCATCCGCCCTGGCTGTAACATCCTTGTCAGAAAATCTGAAACCTGGTCGAGAAAATCTCCACTTGTTTTATTTTTTAGGTTTTGTTAAGCATGTTGTAACCGTCTGTCTTGTAGTTGTTGTTGTACCGATGATGTCTAATATAGTTACCAGAGTATAGTTTTAATTTTGTGTAAATGTTGAATAAGGTTATTATAATTTTTTTTCTCCCTCCTTGAACAAGATGAGGATTATTTTTTACCCCCTTCCTCTTTTCTTTCTCTGCTCCACCTTTCTCTGTTTAACTGCAAACACAGTCTGTACATGCCTGGTTGTATTCTCCATTATGTTACTTTTTTTATTTTAAATATCTACATACAGTCTTTTTTCTTGGCGATGTTTATTCAGTTTGCTTTCTGTGTGTGTGTCACAGTTAGAATATATTAATTCAGTATAGCCCATTCATCGCATTTACCTGGACTGTATGATCTCCCTCCTTCCTGCTCTGTTTCACACACATACACGCTCCCTTTTTTCTCCCACACACACATTAACTGTTATCTGTCACACTTACCATTATCTGTCATGGTGTGATGGAAAAGGGACCTTTATTATTGCATAATCAGATGGTTTAGCCACTTGCTGTTCAAGATTCTGATACTGTCAGTATGCGCTGTGTTCTAGCAGAGAAAGGTCAACTTGTAGGACTGTCAAGGTGCTGATCCACACAGTACCTGCCATAGGTGTATATCATTGTTGTAGTATAGTAAAGGTCAGCTCTGTGGCTAAGTCGATGCAAATGCTTCGTAATGCCGGGAAGCCGGGTTCGATCTCAGCTGCGGGCCATGCGCCTTGCGTTGGTTTCGACAGGTGGTATCAAGAAAGCCGACCGTCCAGAAAACAATGGCAAACTACTGGACGTAAATTTGCCTAGAAAAACCATACATCAGCCAGGGGCTGTTGGGGTTGGTTCTGCAAGGTCCTGTAAAGGATACGCAACTAACCAAAAACCAAAAAAGTATAGTAAAGACCATGTGTTACTGGCCTAAGAGAAACACTAGACAGGAGGAATTAGCAGCAGCCGGTCAAAGGTAATTTGTTCTGTAGTGTAGTCTTCAGCAGAGTGATATGTCTTTTTATGTGCCTTAAATATTAAGGAGTAGCTGGCCCAATTGTTTTAGATCCTAACATTTTAAAATAATCAGGTATACCTTCTTCTTCTGTTAATTTTGCCCTTTAAAGGGTGGTGAAAACCCTGTGGTTTACAGCTAGACTGTGTTATCTTTTAACTTTCAGCCTAACACGTTCGGTTTTAGCAAAGCCCCAATTAGTCATCTTTTATGACATAATGTTAAGGCCCCTTCTACCCCCTACCCCAAATGAACCCTGTAACTAGTTCTTCTTCTGTTAAGGTTGCCCTTTAAAGGGTGGTGAAAACCCTGTGGTTTACAGCTAGACTGTGGTATCTTTTAACTTTCAGCCTAACACATTCAGTTTTAGCAAAGCCCCAGTTAGTAATCTTTTACGAAATAATGTTAAGGCCCCTTCTACCCCCTACCCCAAATGAACTCTGTAACTAGTTTGGGGAAGGTGTTCACAGGAGTGTTTTCTGGCACAACATGGTACTGGCATCTTTTTTAAGGCATCATTTTTCAGCGCTGCTGTAACAGACACTCTTGGGGGGGGGGGGGGGGGGGGGGGCATACCGGCACTTTTTTCCGACACTTTATGGTGTGAGTACCGGCACCTGTTTAGAACAAAATCCCTGGGTATGCCAGGACAGTAACTACCCAAGAGAATCAAGTATATTATCAAAGCAAACACTAGTGTTATGTTATATGGTCTATTTTTGCTAGAGGATTATTCTAATTGTTATTGTGAATTGTTTGTTAAATATTTAAACTATTTACCATACACAGAACATTTTGCCATATATTAATATTGAAACTGTTACCTAAATGTAAATGTTATGTTGTATGCTTGACTGCTTTCTGTTTTGCTGAAACAGAGGTCACCAGAGATCTTTTATTTGATTTTTATTGAAGGATTTTATCATTCTTGTGTCACAGTGTTTTTTTTTTACTGCTGACTGCTCTCATTGTCTGGAGAGAATGGGACACTTGCTGGTTTTGATAATGTACTGAGGTTAGGGGCGAACGCAATACTTAACTGGGGATTATCCAGAATCATTATCCATAAAGGTAAATTTTTTTACCTTTACAACGCTCAGCTAGGAACTAACCAGAATCATTATCTATAAAGGTAAAGGTTTTTTACCTTTACAACACTCAGCTAGGAACTAACCAGAATCATTATCTATAAAGGTAAAGGTTTTTTACCTTTACAACACTCAGATGAGAATTATCAATATATCAATAAAGGTAAACGTTTTTTTTTAACCTTTACAACACTCAGCTGGAAATTATCCAGAATCATTAACCATAAAGGTAAAGGTTTTTTACCTTTACAACACTCAGCTGAAAATTATCCAGAATCATTATCCACAAAGGTAAAGTTTTTTTTACCTTTACAACACTCAGCTGGGAATTGTCCAGAATCAGTAGGCAGGTGCTCTAGAACTCACAGCTCGGCTGTGAAAAGCTTTCATGCAGATTTTCTTTGCATACAGTGGGACAATTATGCAGATATATGCACTGATGGTGCAAAGGCAAGGATGGATAACAGCGCTGAAGGTAATGCCAAAATTAAAGATAAGGCAAAGTTATGTAGTAGCAGCCATTGTGTTCTTCATAGACATGTGCCAGCCTATACAAAAAATTCCCTTTGAGCTTATGATACGGTTGAATGATGCCATACAAAAGTGTAAACTATTTAAAAGCACAACCACCAAGTGGGGGTTCCAGGGCCCCATTGTGGGGAAAACAAGAATAGACCTACTGCCTGCCCGGTAAGCGTGTCGTAGAAGTCGACTAATTGGGGGCATCCTTCGAAGTCGGAGTACATCTGTCTGAGAGGCAAGGAACCAAAAGTATCTACACATTTCTGTGGTCATCCTAGAGACAGGTTCCCAACTTGAGGCCTGGCTAATGTAGATAGGATCAGTGTTTCCTTTCGCCATAAAATGGAGTGATTAGGCAGGGCAGAATATTATGCTTAGAAGTTATTTTTGCTTCCGACAGCACTTTGCTAATGCAGTTTCTTCATAAGGACGGTAGTATATGGTTTCGCTGCCTGAGCTACTGAGTTTAGTGCTTGGTGCAGCTCTGTGAGCTGTTTTTTTCCTGAGGAATGCTTTCATTTGTGCAGCGGTTGTGTCTCGGTATTCAATGTGGCCAGTAGCCGGTTTAAGTGTGAGCTGGTGAAATATGTATTAATTCTGTTTGTGTGTAGCCAATTTATTGTGCCCGACTTCTTCCATCAACGACAAACTGCATTTCTGGTGGCGACTGTTGGCTTTAGTACCTCTAGCAACTGAAATGTGCATCTACTGCATGCGCATATTTGTGGATTGTTCCGGTACTAATTGTTCACCAGTTTTTCTTGTGGGACAGTGTGGGGCATTTCATTTGATTTTCACTGGCACAGGAATAGAGCTAGTATGGGAAAACCCGATTGCCATGAAGTTTAAACCTCAACTAAGACTAATTTTCCTTCCTAAAATTTGTCACAACTGAATATTTTAAAATACACAATAACTAAAAATTAGATACAGCTTGACAGGTATACAAGAAGGAACAAACATTCAGTGCCCAGATAGAAACGCAACACTATAAAAGATACAGAAAAAGACATTTAGCACTGAGATAAAATAGTGATTAGTGAGGACGATCTTCACAGGACTCCATACATGTTCACAGGTGCTCCGACCTCCTCCTGAAAAGCTCCACAAGCGTAAAACGACTGATGACATCTGTTGAGTGTTGATTATTTAAACCTCTTGTCCCTGTAGTGAAATGTTTATTTCTTGCAGCTCCCGGTTTTATCTCCATGTCCATCAGTCTAGACAGGGATACCCTTTGCTGTGTTCATCTTTGGGATACGTGCTGTGCATGGCATGGATAACATTGCTTCTATCCTATACTGGACCATCCATAGCAACCGCAGTGTCTGCAAGATAATCTGCATGCTCATTGCCTCAAACACCTGCGTAACCCAGCATTAAGATTTTAAAAAAGACAGAACAGATAAAGACAAAGCAACACAATATAACAGAACAAACAAGAGACTTCTGCATAATAAATACAGTTAAATCCAGTTACATAAAGAAAAAAAGAGATAGTGGAAACTTAAAATATAAACCTTTTATTAAAATTATTTGTTTAGAATCCATGTTTCAGAGCCATATAATGCTAAAGATGGATTTAACATTGTGGTTATTCTTTCAGGTGGTTCCTCTCTATAGCACAAAGCCTGCGTTGTATTGTAGAGACCCTGTGTTGCCCAAGCGGCATGATCCCTCTGTCAGCATGCCTTGTTTGCTCCAGAAGAGAAGGTAACACAAATATATTAGGAATTAAACATGCTGCAGAAGCTGCCAGGTCAGAAAAGCAGTGCTGCCTGTCGGAGCTTCCCTCCTAGACCAGGTGCCACCAAGGCTAAGTGCCTTCTGGCAGCTCAGTGTGCATGTTAGAAATATTTCTTCTCATTATAAACATAAGGAAGTAAAGGTGGCCGGCGTGATGCTGACCACATCACCCATCTTGTGCCGATAAGTCTAAAAAATATAGGCCTAGCCCTATATGCCCTATACGCCTAAAGGCGTGGAAAAGGGTCCTTTACTCCTTTACTTTACTTTTTTTAATGAACATAAATCCTTAGCAAAGCTGCAGCATCTACCCATCGTAGTCTTAATGACCAAATGAACAGACACTAGTCCCCAGTTATACAAACTTGTGTTGATTGTAATTGTCCAGTTGTAAATTAACTTCATCTCCATCCGCTGACGTTTTTTTGTTCACAATTTAACTAAAGTGAAAATACATGTTCATCAACAATTGTTCATGCAACATTGGTTTAGGCAAGGCACAATGGGCATTCCTAAACTTACTGGACACAGCTGCTGCCCACATCTTACACACGTCAAACTCAGATACAAAATATGGTCATTGATACAGTTAGGAGAATTAAAATTACCTTAATCATTAACATAAAATATTAAGTACAAACCTACATTATATTATTAAAAGCCAACAGTTTTGAAATCAGCAGACTGTCAAAGTG